GTCGATAACAATATCGGTAAAAATTTCGATGACAAAATCGATAAAAATATCTATAAGAAAAGCGATAAAAAAATCGATTATTATATCGATTAGTCCCGAGAATCCCATAAATCTCTGAAATCAAAAAAAAACAATAATTCACAGAATGAGTATCTGTGTCTCCATCTATATCCGTTTCTCTATAACTACCTTTATTTTAATTTTTCTTCCTCTTTCATCATCTTTACCTTTATCGGTATCTTCATTAATATAAATAAAGTGTTTAAATTAACCTTGGTCTTCATTTTTGCTTTTATTTTTGTTTTTATTTTTACCTTTGACTTCATCCTTTTCTTTATCTCTGGTGCGTATTCCCCTGTACTTTCATTCTTGTGTTGGTCATTTGCTAAGTGTTATTCCTTAACCTTTTATTAGCATGTTTTGGTTAAATTAATACCATTTGCATACACCCAAGAAGCACTTGTTTCAGCCTCAACCATTTCCGTTGCATCATTTCCGTTGCACGATTTCCGTGTGCAATTTCCGTAGAATTTGCCAATTTACTCCCAACCAACCAGCCGCCGCTAAAGAAGTTTCACTTCAAAAATACATACGTAGATCTTAACAGTCGCCGCTGGTTAGGTCGCTGCAGCACGAGCTGGAATGCAATATCGTCATCATCCAGGACTATTTCACATAATTCCTAGTCTTGTCTTCTTGCAATGAAGAGGATGAATTTCGTCCATTTGATTTGATCAAAATTGTACCCCTACAGACGCGAGTATGGCGAAAAAATATCACTCATACTGATAAGTATCACTCATTTAAGGAGTTCTATAGGCACACTTTTTGTGAAGACTATTTTCCCTAAAAGGATTAGCGGTGCGGTGCACAGGGAATCCAATTTTTACACGATACGGACTGCGCAGTTTGGCTCTCTATCTTTGTAGAAGCTATAGCTGTGTACTAATCTACTCATGTATCTTGAAAAGTTGATTTTGAAAGATTTTGAGTTGGCCACCCCTTTATATACACTTACATACATACAAATATGACGCAATAAATAGTTGCAAAATTAATTTTCCTTAAAATTTAATTAAGGTAAATTTCCTTTAGTCGAAGATAAACGTTAATGGTACCTTGTAATTAATTTAATAGGTGCGTTAATTGCGGATAATCAAAAACTTCGATGTACATTCATACGTTTGTACATATGCATACCCTGCAGTAAAATTTAGAGACAGTCTGTTAAAGCGCTAGTTCCGCCCTACACATTTCAGAACTATCTCTGAACTAGTGCAAAACGGATGCAGAGAGGGACAGTTGAAACTTTTGGTGTGATAGTTGCGCTCTGCTGAGAAGTAAATAAATATACAAATACTCACTTCTCGTAAAATACTAAAATAGCTCAGCGGGAAGACCTCCGACTCTATCATCGTTGGTCGCGAATTCAAAAAGCGGGGGAGGCAGTTGTGATTTTCAGATTTAGTAAATTTAAATTGTTGAGTGCCGCTTAAAAAATGAAGAGAAAATGATGAAATTTAATATAAATAAAATAAGAGAATAAAATATTAACTTAAATGCAGTCTGTAAAAATGCAGAAAAAATTAAAAAAAAAAATATTAAAAAATCGAATAATTAAAGTTTTTTTCATAGAAAACTAATTGTCGCAGATCAGTCCAAAATGGAAACAGTTCAGAAAAGAAAAGTATCCAATAATATAGTTTTAAAATTTTTTCTCATAAAAAACTTATTGTCCCAGAACTGTCGAAAATGGAAACAGTTCGAAAGTTCGCAGAGGTGGCAATTTCCCCTTCGTAGGACATCGCCATGTAAAAAGAGACAGTTGAAAGCATTGCGTTGGGATAGATCGAGAACCAGTACCGCCTGTCCTGAACTAGTGCGATTTACTGTAGGGTATATACTCATGTTCATGTGTGTATGTTTTACATACATACATACTTACGTGTATAAACTTTAAAATATACTGTATATTTTATATTTGAAAAGCATACATTTATGACGCATGCATGATGCAATTCGGTTGTATGCATTATTTATATGCATATGTATAAGCCAGGGTTGTTGCGAATATTATTCCGAAATAAAAGTGCTTTCCGGATAATAAACAAACCGCTTATCTAATATAAAACAGTTTGGTATGAAATGAAAGAGGACATAAATAGCTTTAAGACTGAAATGTCTAAACAAGGAAAGCCACATATTGAAAAATATTTCAATAAAAAATGTTCATAAATTACCATAGAACAAACCTTGTGTCAGGTATGTGCATTCCTTTAGTATTAAATCGTAAAAAAAATATAAATAGAGGTTGTTCGCTATTTCTGTTTAAAAGCTATTACAGTCCGCTTTCATATGATGCCAAATTTGTTTATTTTCGACAGACGGTTTGCTATTATCCGGAAAGGACTTTTATTCGGAATAATATTCGCAACAACTCTAGTTTAGGCACATGCATATGTATGTACATATTTATGTAAAGCGAATATCTATGTATATGTTAATAATATAATAATATATCAATAATTAAATCAAATACCTTCTTTGCTAACCGCAACCAGTTATGAATTATTTACGAACCACAAACACTTGAATTGTATGTATGTATGTGTTTGCACTCAATAATTTTAGTTATTAGTTTTAACATTTTTATTTGCCTAATGAATATAATATATAATGAATTTTAATACGACTTTAATTTTAATTTTCGACCAACATATGGACACTGAAATCCTCTGTAAAAAATGACACTGGATCAGCGATGTGAGGTAGGTCAAATACAAACACAAATACAAAATTTTGTATTTAAATAAATTTTGGCAACAGCATTTTACATTTATAGTATCAATACTTTTTAAGCAGTATTTGTATTTTATATTTTAAAAACTTTTCCTGTTCTTCGTTATTCCTCGTTTCATAAAATTTTCATTTATTTAACACTGTCGTTAATTTTCTTGGCATTTGCAAATTTCGGATTATCAAAAACGTGAGAACGTCGTCGGAAGATGCCGCACAGTGGTTCAAATCACGAACGAAACGAAAGCTTATGAAATTAGCAAGAGACCAGTTGAGCCCGATTTTTGAATTTTTATATGTTTATATAAAATTTTTAGTGCAAAGTGCTGAAAAATAGTAATTTTGAAGAAAACGATTCTCCTGTTCCAGTTAATAAATGTTACATAATCTAAACTAGTTGAAAACAGTTGTATGGTTCCCCCAAAACGAAAAAACATTCACAAGGAAAATTTTAAATGTCATAAAAAAAAGGTCCACCAAAATTAAAATTTTTTTATAGAGTTTTTAGAAAAATATTGGCTATGCGGTTACATAGACCGGTAAGTTTTAGTATATCTAATTAAGTGCAAGTGGCAAGTGGCTAGGAGTTGGCTTTTGTTTAGATCCGATAATTGGATCGTGAAGAAATTAACGATAATCTTAAATTTTTATATGAGAATTGAAATTGGTTTTGTTTTTGGTAGAACGTGGTATATTAGAAAGTTTTTTTTAATATAATATATTTACTTAATTTATAATGCTGAAATTGAGTTCAGGAATGTTTGCGTTTAAACTCATTTAGTCAACCAACATTCACTTTTACATTTCCTCTTAAAGAATACTAAAATTTCAGCTTAAATTTACTTCCGAATATATCTACTTTAATCAATTTACTCGATACATCGACTTCCTGTTGGAATTTTTCATTTCTCTCTGCCTGCCAGAGAAGAATAGTAAACGAAAAGTTTATTCAAGTTGAACTAGTTTACAAAAAGTTTCACTACACTACAAAAGTAGTTTGTATGCTGTTCTAATTACTTAACCTGCAATAAAAATAATCAAACAAAACTAAACGCAAAAAGCTAAACAAAAGCTTACAGTAAAAAGATGAAAAGCAAAAAAATCAGAAACTGTAAGACAAAACACGAGAAATAAAAAAAGTATTGCTCCACAGTGGCGGACAAATAAAAATAAATCGGCGCACGATCACGATAAGTAGTCATTGGTAGATAAAAGATTCCGAGCGTTTGTATATTTTACTTTTGTAGAGCGAAAATGAAATACAAAAGGGAAGAAAATTGGTAGGAGAACCTCAAACATGAGCTAAATTTAGTTCAATTTGAGTTGTAAATAATTGTGGCCTATAACGACAGCCATCTAGTATGCAATGCTAGTTTAGCACGAGTATCAACCTCTCTAAGGCGCGCTAAGATTTCTCCATACTTACGGTGTTCTTAGTATATCCAATCAACAATTATGGCTCTCAAAGAAACCAACTTCCTTTCTTCTCGAGCCTACGGGTCGTCGGCTACAACCTTTAAAAAATTCTGATACCTAGCACGATATATATATCATAGTATTCCTACAAACACCTATTCTGACAATCGAAAAATCGTGACATGTGACATTTCTTCAAAATTTAGCGGCGTGAGAATCTGCATAAAATGTGTTAAAAGTAAAATACGTATTTGTTAACTTAATTTATTGTTGGTTGAAAAATTTTAAAGGTAAATTAGTTTTATGTTCGCACTTCATTGTCCGCCACTGTACGTGCATACAAATGTTTTTGGAAAAAAAGGCGACCTTAGCACAACGCCTCGCATTACGATGATTACTTTTTATTTGCTTTAAATTTAGCAATTAAACACTGAGTAGTCAAACACCAAACACACGCACTCACACCAGACCAGCTTGCACTATTTCGCTCAATCAGCAACTTAAAGTTATACTTTGTTGTAAATTTTTTTTTTTTAATTTCAAATAAAAGCAAACTTTAAAGCGCGCAATGAAACAGTTGAAAACTGCAATTCGCCGTGTAAGCAGCAACCATTCACTTTTTTTTTAGTAAATCGTAACAACAGCGGTGTAAGTGACGTTAAATGCGCAAGTGAAAACGAAAAAAGTGAGGAAATTTTTAATAAAGAAATTCAAACAAATACAAGTTTCAATAAAACAAGTTGAGCTTAACATTTAAGTAAATAAATAAACGCATTTTTTTTTTCAAAATGCATTCCATCAGCGTCATATCTGCTCTTGGCATTTTATGCGCAGCGTTGTCTGTGTCTTTCGGTACAAACAGCGCGACCAGCTGCAGCAGTGGGACGTCATGTACCGCTAGCAGCACTACGACGACCACCACAACCACTACCACGGCCAAAAGCACTGACATTAGCTCCACAACCGAAAGCATTCAGCGTAGCAACAACAATAAAAATTTTTTGAAAGAGAAACGTAAGTTGTTGCCGTAACGCACGCGAGCTCTGTGAAATAAACGTGTTTTTTTTGTTTAAAATATATTTTAAATTGTTCATTCACAGCTAAAGATCTGCAAACCTGTCAACGTAAATCGGCTGATTTTGATAAATGCATAGTGAGTGCATATCAGCACATATTTAGTACCTGGAAAAATGGTATGTAAAGGGGAAACAAAAGAGAAACAATCTGTGTACACACATGCATACATATATGTATACAGTGAGTGTCAGTCAAAATCGTACAATAAGTTTCAACAACAACTTCGTATCTACTAGTTTATGGGGCCACTGTTTACAAATCTTCAGTCAGGTTTAAATTTTTAAAAATTTATTGAATTCGCTCGAAACTTTTTACTCGGGAGATTTTGATAGTATTTAGGAGTTTGCTTAACAGCTGATTACGAATCTGAAAGCAGGTTATAAAAATTCTAAATGATGGGTTCGATATGATGGCTTTCTAGTCAAAAAGTTAGTGAATTTTAATAGTACATATGTATTGAAAATTAGCTTTCTTTTAAATTCAAAATTTAAAAAAAAAAAATTCCCAAAAGTTGGCTATAATTTTCTGTGTGTGTAGTGTAAACGTTAAATAGTGAGAATATGTCATTAGATTTTATTTGGCGGAAATTTTTTCTACAATTTTGAAATCTAATGTAATTGTAATTTACTTATAAAATTGTATGTTTTTCACTATTATAAATGAAATTTCTCTATTAGATACTTTCCTTTATTTTATACAAAATTAATCTCGAATAAGATCAGTTATTAGCAAGAATTTTTTCTTTAACTTTGTAAATTTGCAAAGTTTCCAATTATAAAAAATTGCTTTACATTTACATTTTCTTTCAATAGGTTTACCTGGCTTTGCTCATTCAGAACCCATAGACCCCTTATTTGTGCGCGAATTCGAGGTAATCGAAGATAGTGAAAATATCACACCAATCACAGTGAAAATAAACAACATCACAGTAACTGGTTTGAGTGAGGCGAAGGTGAAGAGTGTCAAGTAAGTATGCAAATGGATATTTATAAATATGTATAGATATATGTAATTGGTAGTTACCTACTCCATTATTTTCAATTACTAATAAATATGCACAGCTGAGTTGATTTAGTAAATAATAGTATTGAGTTTACAAAACAAGCAAGCAAATTGCGAAAAGTATTACTTAAGTGGTGGTACACATATATATATTATATTTTTATAAATCTTATTTTAAATGCTGATCAAATATAAAAACATATTTCCATAAAACACTTGAAAGCCACTTTCACTAAAACTTTCTCTCTGTTTTGTGCAGCTTCAAAGAAAATGAATACGATTTCAAAATGACTTATTCAGTGCCTAAAATACGCCTAAATGGTCACTATACAGCTCAAGGACAAGTGCTGCTGCTCAAAATCGACACGGATGGTGAAATGTTCATGGAAATTCGTAAGCAACAAAGAAAAATTAAAGCAAACCAACACAACTCGAATCGAATCAATATCTTACGAAGAAAAAGCTCGACTTTGAGTTAAACATACATTTATTCATTGTAAGAGCTACTGCCATTCGATGTGGTTCGAATGTGGAAGTTTGACTAGATTTACAATAGGGGTATTCACGATCCGGTACATACTGTCTAGCATGGTGCATAGATAGCATACAAAACATGATTGGCTAATTTTGTTGTTGTTTGAATACATGAAACAATAACAATCATGCTATTTATGCTATACGTGCACCATGCCAGACAGTATGCATCGGATCGTGAATACCCCTAATGTACATAGATACATATGTACGTATTTAAAATTGCCGACACTCTTCCGCCTTTTATTGCAAACTTTTCCACTGAATTCATTAACCAATGACTTTTGTCCAACCTCCCATACAGTTGACGGCCTCTACACCGTATCGACAAAAGTTAAATTACAAACTTTAGAAAATCACAAATTTTTCGACTTGAAAGCGATGCAATTCAATGTGGACACAATAAAGGATTTGCATTTGCATTTCGCCAATTTGTTCAAGGACAAAGTGTTGAATGACAATACAAATGCTGTATTCAATGGCAGCTGGCGCGTATTTTTCGACATATTCAAGCCAAAAATCGAAGCGGAAATCAATAAAGTGCTATTGGCGCACTTCCGCAGCGTGTTCGACCAGGTGCCGGCCGAATTTTTTATTGCCGATGTAGCAACAGCGGCAGAGGCAGAGGCAGAGGCTGCAGGTAAGCCAGCGGAAGGTAGCAGCAAACTAACGGAACTGCACGCACACAGCCTACTTGGTGCTAATAGCAAAAACAAAGATGTTACACATTTGGAATTGCAGCATGCGACTCAGGCCAGCGAAAAATCACATGTGAAAGATGAAAAATTGCATTAAATTTTTCGTGAAAAAAGGCCTTCATATGAAGCGAATTATCCGCTATAAATAATAAATTATAAAATAAACACACAACAGTCTAAAGATTTTTTAATACATAGCTTTGCAGACGCGCTCATACGCATTTATTGCTACACATTGGAAACTGGTATAAACACACACAAGCACTGTACATGAAATAGCTACATCTAGTCTAAAGCAGGGTGACACCCATATTATAAATCGAGCGAAATGTTCGTAGCATGCTTTTAGGCGGCGATATAATTTATGCTTTGCCTTTGCTTAGGATGCATGTTTGATGCATTGTATATTTGTAGGCTGCTCACTCCCAAAAATAAGATGGGACTATTATCAGAGAACGTGCGTATTCATATGAGCAAATCTCACGAGTTTTTAAATTTTTCGACAAAAATGTGTTTTTGGTAGAAAATGCATTATCTTCTGTTTTGTATAAAGAACAAGATTCCATCACGAAATTGTATTTAAACAAAAATTTGAAAAAGATAAACCAAAATAGTAATTAAATTATAGTTAAAAAAAAACTAAATACTCGCTTTTATTACAATGTGCGCTAAAAAGTAAAAAATAATTTATAAAAATACAGATTTCTTTTGAGAGAAATATGAAGTTCCTTAACTTGATTTAATTAAATTTATAAATCCAACCCAAAATTGGATTAAAGTAATTGATAATAAAATTAATTTTACCGGAAAACAAAACGTGGTGTGCTTCATGTCAATTGTTTTGAGCTTTTCATTTTCAGTTTAGTAATATTGAATATTGTCAATAGCAGGACTATAAAATCTAAACAGCTCCCCACCCTTTGTTTTCCGGTAAAATTAATTTTATTATCAATTACTTTAATCCTATTTTAGGTTGGTTTTAAAAATTTAATTAAATCAAGTTAAGGAACTTCATATTCCTCTTAAACGAAATTTGTATTTCCATAAATTATTTTTTTACTTTTCAGTTCACATTGTAATAAAAGCGAGTTTTTAGTTTTTTAACAATTATTTTATTTTCATCTTTTTCGTCATAAATTTAATTGATTTTAAAACTATTATAACGAATAGAATAACACGTGAAAGTTGGAAATTTCATTCGTACTGTCATCAGGTAACTTTAAAATGTAAATTTAAAGCAATTCCCCTTCGTACTCTCATATGTATTGTTACCAAGTTTTTAATAAGAAAAAGCACTAAAACCTGAAAAAAGTCGCATTTTTTTCCGAAAAAAGCACCAAAGTTTTATAGGAGTATTTAATGGACTTTTCAAAAAAAAAATATTGTTTCCTATAAATTCAAATATTTTCGTCCAAGCGACGTTAAGACTCTTGCTCTTATTTTCTAATTTGCAGTTGTGTCCAGCGTTGCTGTTTCGCTTAGATGTAAGCAAAATTTATTAGTTTTTCCTGACTGTTTAAATGTTACATTTTTCTTCGTTTTGCTAATTTTTTCTACAATTCCTACCAAACGAAAATAGAATCCAGAAATGAAGTTTCATGAACTATGTGGTAGTTTAAACCAACACTGCAGCCTTTTTAATGTATCATATTTGAGTATATTATCTACTGGCGCATAGTGCGAAATATATTTTTGTGTCAAAAAAGAGCTGTCTACTCTTCAAATCCCACCCAATTTCGATTATTCTGTTAGAATATGCTGCTGCTTTTTTAAATAGTTGTAAAAAATATAACAAATTCAGCCCAAACTAAAGGTCGGTTTAAGATTTCAGCAATTGCGACATGATTGAAAGTGCTGCCACATATTTTGTTGGTAAACATATGCTCATTTTGCAAAGTTTCATACAAAACTCACGACTGCTGTAAATTACGCCCCGCGTTTTTTAATGTTTACATATTTGGTGTCTTCAAAATAAAAACAAAAGCAACAAAAAACGCACCAAGCACTAAACTCAAAAATTTTCGCGTTTTGAGTAAAGAAAATGCAATAATAAATAAATGTAGGATGTACGGTCTCCACGTCTATAGAATTCTAACAAACCAACAGCATATACATATGTACATTCATATGTATGTAGATTTGTTTTTTCTAATCTTCGTGTTGTTGTTGGTCTAAGCGATTCTGGCCGAGTCCGATAAAGCACACCAATCGTTTCTCTTCTGTGGCAACTGACGCGAATTCAAAATGCCCAGTCCTTCTTGAGTCTGGTCTTTCCAACGCAGATGAGGCCCTCCTCGTATTCTAGCATCGCGATCCGCATTGTACTCTTGCAGAGCTAAAGCATTTCCGTCAAACACTGAAGGGCCACTTCATTAGATGTTTTATTGACCATGCTTCTGGACCATAACTACTCCAGCTCGGGAATTATGAGTCACTTATAGAGTTTGATTTTTGTACAACGAGAGAGGACTTTATGTACATACATCTCATTTGCCTGCTCAGTCCTAAAGTTGCACTTGTTGGCAAGACTGATTCTGTGTTGGATTTCAATGCTGATATTATTTTTGGTGTTAATGCTGGTTCCCAAGTAAAGGAAATTCTCTACTCTCTTGAAATTATAACCGGCGTATGCTCTGATTATTTGTCTGATGGCATGATATCCTTCTTTTGTCCTTGTTCGCTACTACAATCATGCGCTTTGATTTTTTATCTAATTCTGAGAAGGCAAAACAGACGTAGCTCTTGTTTTTACCGATGATGTCAATATAAAAAAAATAGAAAAACCTACATTGCTCCGTTTACCACAAGAATATGTCCTACCTATATTTAGGTGAGAACAATGATTTTGCATTTTTTCCAAACTCACTCCCCGCACAACATGTGTTTGTCGAGTATGCGTACTTAATTTGTGTCTGTTTATTTTGTTGTCAGTTTTCACTTTACCTCCATTACCAAACACCAAACGGTGGCAGCATTTGCAAAGTGCCGAGAGAGCTTTAAATTGCAAAGCATACAAATCGATGCAAATCGACATTAACTGAGATAAGTAAGTGAACAAATGTCAAAGAGTGAACAGTTCTTGTTATGTGTTTGTATGTTTTAGACTTAAACCTGTAAGTACACATGTTGTGTGATTAAGTAGAGTTGATTATCTTCTTTGTGACGGTATCGGAATGTTTTCGATTTCAGCCTGAGTACATAGCAATTTAAGAGAAGCAAACTGAAATTCAAAGAAAATGTAGGCTAACCATCCATACTTCTGTACATGTGAACACAGTTTTCTGTCGGTAGAAGGTTACACATGGCGTATGATTAAAATTTGATTTGGGAAAGTGAACAACCGAGAGCGTTGTTATGCGCGATGTGTTAACGATTAAAAAAAAAAACAACTTGCGCTCGAAACCTCTCTGAAGCATTAAAATAGTACAATTATTTTACTTTTTAAGAATTTCCGGTAGATCTTCATGCACTTTCTTTCTGACAACTCATTATTCTTCGATTTTTAAAGCGAGAAGCAGCTTAAATTAAATCAAACATTCTAGGCATTTTTCACTAAGAAAAGTTCTGTGTAGCAATACATTTACATACTTAGTTGCAGCAGTTAAAGAGAAAAGGAGCTGGATAACGCAGGGTAATCAAAGAAGACCATAGAAATGCCTGCCGATTCGCTGGCCTGGCTGTCAGCTGCCATTGTTGCGTTCACTTTGCTTGGTTTGTGTTCCAACGTCTTGTTGGTTTATTTGTTTATTTGCTTGGTTTGTGGCATGTTGTTGACATGCTGTTGCAACAAGCTAGCCCCATACTGCAAAAGCATTCATTTTGGTAGATACTGCAATGCTACACTTAGAAAACAGGCAGGAGAAAATCCGAATAATGCAAATGTAACAAAAAAAAAGTGTTTTTCTTTTAAAACAATTAAATCTAAAAACGAATTAGAAAAAGAAAAATTAAATCAAGAAATAAGAAAACACAGTAGATACTTAAAACTAAAAAATATAAAGGTAAAAAAAAAAATCTAAAAATTAAAAGAAAATAAATTTAATGAAAGACAAAGAAAAGATTATACCAATTAAATGTAATAAAAAAATGTTTTTTCTTTTAATACAATAAAATCTAAAAATTTTAGGAAAATGCTATTAACGAAAATATATGAAATTAAAAATAGAAAAAATAAATGAAGTAAGTTTCAAAAAATTAAATGAAATTTAAAAAAAATAAAAATTTAAAAATTTAATTAAAGTGAATTAAAATTAAGCAAGAAAAAAGCTTAATAAAACTATAAATATTAAAAGAAAAAAATTAAAAATGACAAAATATAATAAAATAAAATTCTGAAAATGAAATGCAATATAGCAAATATATTTTTCTATTAAAACACTTAAATCTAAAATTAAAGAAAATTGAATTAACAAAAAAAATCAAATTTAAAAATTAATAAAATAACTTCATAAATACTAAATTAAATAAAAAAATACATATTCGCTTTTTAAAAAAATAATATATAGACTTAATTAAGAAAGAAAATAATTCAAAAAAGAGACAAAATAATTTTCTAAAAATTAAATGAAATTAAAAAAAAAATATTCTTCGTTTTAAAAGAATATTCTATACAAAGAAATATTCTATATTAAGAAAAAAAACTAAATAAAAAAAGAAAATTTTCATAAAAAAGCTCCTGAAAATTAAATGAAATTACAAAAAAGGACTACATCTACAAATTAAAAGAAAATGAAATTAAGAAAGAAAACAATACATAAAATAAGTTCCCAAAAATTAAATGAAATTAAAAAAATATATTTTTTTCTTTTTAAAACAATAAAACATAACAATTTAAAGAAAACTAAATTAAAAAAATAAAAAAAATTCTGCTGCCCGAGGACTTGAACTCAGATTGCTCAAATGGCATCCTTGTGCTTTTCTCACTCGGACACGTTGATGACTCTTGGAGCGACGCGAACTCAATGAAATACAAATGCTTTCTCTCAAAATAGATTTCCACCACGAGTGGTGTAAGGCTTTTTACTATCTTAGTCAGAATTGCCCTAGTAGTATACAATGCTAGTGGAGTATATATATAAACAATATGCCTGTCATGTA